CCGCCACGGAAGATGAGCTCCTTGATGCGGACGCTGTTTGAAATTCGACCGTCGGGCGTCTGGAACTCCAGCCACTGTGTCTCCGTGAGAGGAGGGCATGTAAAAGAAGGGTAAGTCATTAAGTTCATGTAGTTCTGATTCTGATTATTGCATTTTCAATAAGAAGTATTTCTGATAAAATTTAAATTACCAAAAAAAATGAACTTTCGGCTACGAGATTATAACAATCAAGTCAACCTTTCGGATGAACAGGCACTATTGGTGCTCCCACTTAGTCCTATGATCTGATAGTTGTCCGGTGAGGTCTGGCGATCGCCGGTGATCAGTGCTCCTGGCCGAGATTTAGGCGAGCGCTGGAAAGGCGGCTGCACGTAATCGGGAATGTTGCCAGCAGAGGCGTAGAGTCGATAAGCAGCGAGAGCCAAAAGCTAATGGAAGAAAGTTTGTTAAGGAAGCTTATACATTTTTAACTTATTAGCTTACTAATCTGGCGTGATTCTGGATTCCAGGAGATTCACTAGAAGCTCAGAGGCAGACAGAAAATCGCGGGTCCGATAAAATTCGTAAAACTCATAGTACTTCGAGAGGAAAACCAAGCGCGGCGAGATGAACATTCGGCCACCCACATTGGCTATGGTGTCCGGGCAGAGCATGTTTCCAGTTCTCGAGTAATGCTATGGAAAAGACAACCCATTAGTTTGAAATATGAAAACAAAAAGGGTTTGTAAACACAACAGTCTAGATAGTCGATGCCCAACTGCCACAGGTTGTGGGACGTCATCAGATAGCTGCCGTACTCATAGATCATCGAATGACGTAGGGCAGGAAGATCACTGTGGGTAAGAAATATAAAATATTATCTTTCGAATAAATACAAATCTCAATCAATTTAAGCCACATGTTGTTCTGATCAAAGTAGCTCTTCAGCTGAACGCAATGATGGATTAGATTAATCAAATGCGTGGAGAACCAATGGGTATCGTTCAGTTTCTGGGCTTCGTATATGAAGAGTTTTATGTCGTGGTCCATGAGCTGCGCAACCATGCGGTTCATGCTGCAGAGCTCCTTTTCCGGCCGCAGCAGATGCCATCGGTTCAACCAATTGGCGGCTGCTATCCTCAGCTAGGTGGGCCAGTACTTCTTTTCCAGCGTCGGCCACTGTAATTATAATACCAATTTGTTTATTAGTTACGCACCGGATCTGATGTAATCACTAGAATTACACACTCACCTTGAACACTTGGATTAGTTAATAGACCACATAAGCCACCACCGCCATGCAAAGGACATGAAGGCGTGGCAGGTTGGACGGTAGGCGTATATCGAATAGAACATGGGCGTCGTGATCCGAATGAAATGGCATATGGCATAATGTTCCGGTTGATCATCTTGGAGATGAGCGACTGCGGCGTGGTGGCTATGAACTGACCTTCACGGTCCTTCTCGAGAACTCCTTGAACAAGGCCGAATTCTTTGCACTCGAAGGTGTAACGCTGGACAGCGACAGGGTCTCGTCATTGGAGACTGTCGATTCGTTTGGGTTTGGACGCAACACTGTTGTTGGCATAGAAGCTGGGATCCACCGAGCTGAGCTGCCGGCGCTTTCGGATCGATTGAGCGGCGATGGAGGCGGCAGCACCACATACTCCTCCGACTCGGCGAGGAGCATTAGCAGGATCTTCTCCTTGGCGGCGAACAGGAGCACGTCGTCCTCGCAGATCTCGCAGCCAGTGGAATGTGTCGGTTCTGCGGGCTAAAAAAAAAGTTAAACATTTGGGTAATATAGATAAATTGCACAAACAAATCCGCAATCCGGGTGCTTTCTCACCACAACTCTCTGGCGTTTGCGGCCGGCGCTTGGTTCGGAGCGGGTAATGCCGGGATGGATGGTGATCTATGGCAGCCTGGGCCTCCGGCTCCTCCTCCACCGCCTTCTCCGGCTCCTCCTCCGACACCACATCCTGTGGTGGAGTTTGTAGCGGAGGTTTTACCTGCGCTTGTGGCATCGCCTGTTGTGGTGGCGCCTGCGCTTGTGGCATCGCCTGTTGTGGTGGCGCCTGCGCTTGTGGCATCGCCTGCTGTTGTGGTGGCGCCACGTATCCCTGCGCAGGATGCCACCCTTGCGCAGGGTACCACAGTGGCGGTGGTGCTCCGTATCCTTGTGCAGGATACGGATACCACTGTGGCTGTGGCGCCACATATGTCTGCGCCGGCTGATACCACCACTGACCAGGTGGTGCCGGCGCGACATATCCCTGCGGCGCAGGACCCCCCCACCATTGTCCAGGTGGTGGTGGTGGTGGCATCATGTGGGGGGTCGCCGCAATTGTTGCTGGTGGCGGCATCTGCGTCGCACGTGTGGCTTCTGCCACAACCGCCAATCCAGCAGCCTGCACTGCTGCCACGGCTGCCTTTATTGCTAAATTAATTAAATAAAATAAATAAATAAAATAATTTTTCAAAAAGTTTTGTTTCAATGATGTGTTTATAATAGTCTTTTTCTATTTTATACGTGCAGGTCGTATGCACTGCTATTTCAATGAAGACAGCTGTACATATTTATGTACCCAACTTTAAGTGAATCTTTTACTTTATACTCTCCTTTTAAGTCAAAATATCATGATATGTCTGGAAATTAATGGCAAGGGATCCATACGTAAATATTTCAATAATATTGCCTTTAAAATGGTTAACAGTCCCTCCTGCATATCTTGATTTGATGTATTTATATTTATTCTCTTCTATAAATTTATCTTAAGGAATTTTTGGAAATATTTCCGGGGTTCACAGCTGTGCTCTACTATCTAATTCTCACACTGATTAACATATTTACATGCGATATGCGAAATCTCTGCAGTGTTAGTGCTTTGCCGACCAGTGTGTACTTCTTATGGCTGGGTCGCAAACATACATTCACACGGCAGCCAAATGTTTTGTTTTTGCTATTTGACAGCACTTTTTTAGCTCTTTGCTTAGTGTTTACTAAGTATTTGCTTAGTTTGCATTTACACTAAGCAAAGAGGTCTTGAATAGACTATATTTTGCGGACTACCCTGAATATCTTTACTATGAAGTACAAATGTTCCTATGTATATCTTTTGTTCACAACAAATTTACACTCTGCATATGTAATTTTCCAAATAAATATTTTAAGTAGAACAGGCTTACCAGTTTAGGAGCCATTCCTCGGTTCGCATTTTCATCGGGCTTTTTTCCGCGTCCACGTCCGCGAGCCGTTCCAGTATTTGGTGGTAAATCCATTTTATTTATCAACCTATTTTTACACTTTTTACTTAAAAAAAATTGTACTCTCTTCAACACTGTTACTTGAAGTTTTGCCGGTCAAGTTACAAAAGGAAAAGGAAACGGAAATGGCCGGGAGATTTGACCACGCTCAGGGCTGAAACTTGTTATCGATTGTTCTTTAAACGACAAATTCTGCATCTCTGAGCACATTTGCATAGATGTAAATTATTGATGCAAAATATTAGCTTTTCTATAACACTTGAAATATGAGCTTTTTTTTGTTGAAATAGAGCCAGATTGAATGTTGCTTAATGTATTTTTTATACCAAATTTAAATCACTCATAATAAAAGCAAAATACAAACAATAAATATTTGACATATTAACAATGTCATCCGAGCTGTCAATGTAGAAATAATATGTAGTTTGAATAGCAACCTGCTAACGATAAATGTCATTTTTTTAGTGTTCAAAAACCCTAACAACTTTATACCTGATAAGTTATGGTTTCTTTTAATCTTGAACTATTAAATTGCGAAATTGTTAAAAATGCATCCGAAAATTTCAGCAACTGAGGAAGCCCAGAGTGGTTCCTGTTGAATTTTCAAACAGCTGCGGCCAGTTCTTTAAATTTTCGGATGTAAATTTGAGAAAACCGATGGGCACTTCTGCTAGTTTTCTTGTATTTAAAAATCCCTCGATAATTTAATAGCAAATAAGTTATAAGGTTTAAAGTTAACGTTCAAAAGCTTAAGGGACCATGTCTTCATATTTATATTATCATATATATATGTCTCTATCTAAGCCTGTAATGAATGCTCTAAAGGTAAATTATTCATAATTTAAAACTATTTCGCCTTGGACTGCGTTCAAACTAAATTAGAAAATAACGTACATAAACAATAATTATACCCGTTACTCGTAGAGTAAAAGATACCTTTTTTTTACTTGTAACAGAGTAGAGGGTATCTGATAGTCGAGGCACTCGACTTGTTTTTATATTCGTGTTCGGCTGAGTGTTTCTATCTGAACTCGAGTGCAGTTTCTCTGGTGATGAATCAACGACAATAGCAAAGAAATACTAAATATACCAAAGGAATATCAAACCCAACTTTGGCACACTTCTAGTTGCCAATGCAAAACCTGTGTGAAAATAAACAGGGTTGAGCCAATAACCCTAAAATACCCCCATAATCTAAATAGGCTTTAAGTACTTAAAAAATATTAATAAAGATAACTGGGTTGCATGTTTCAATTAGTTTTATTATTCATCTTTATTTATAAAAACATTTTTGAATTCAGCGTCCATTATCTATATAAAAATTGAGCTAAAAAGAAAGGTTAAATTATTGAGAAACATCATTTAAATAACTTGAAAAACAAAGATATTAATAAAAAAAGTAAAATAAAAGTGAACTGAATCTTTTGTTTGCACATATTCCAACTGCTTAATGTGAGTTTATTATTTATCAAAATTATTAAATCCGTTTTTTATTTTTTAAAATAAACGAATTTGTTTACAATGTTTTTTTTATACATCAATATCATTTTATTCATATATCAGTTTATTCATTCATTCATTAAGTTTTCTCTCACTTCTCACAAGATTTGAGATGGGGTCGGTAAGTTCTGCGTTCCAAGTTTCTCAACCAGTCCACCGGAATGTTCCTATCCGCGCGGTTCAAATTGTCAATTTGCTTTTTATCTTCTTAACCCACGCTATAAGATAGCAAAATCAAAATATGTAGTTATGTTGAGTATTGTAAACGATTATCAGTGTAGGTTTATTTAGCTTCCTCGAAGTCTTAATTTGAACTAAAACGGAAGTTTCCTTCTGCAACATATTGGTCATATGGGTTTTATGAGTGCGGAATGACTAAAGAGGTCGCCTTAAGTGCTTTCTAATAAAAAAGGGTCGTAAGCAAAGCCAATCTTAGGACATGTCGAATGTTAATTGCAAATAATTAATGTTGACAAATTGCGTAGTGATAAACGCAATATTGAAAGTAGAAAACAACTTTAAACTAACGGATTTTTCCAAAAGTTCTAAATCTCAGGCAGTTTAATGCAATATTTCGCAGTCCAGGACGCTAAAATCATAAAGGGAGTGCCTATTACTTGAAAAGGGTTTTATGCATTATAATAAGCATGAAATGTCAATTATACTGAGCTGAAGCGGGTTGCAGTTTCTGTTATTCAAAATCTTTTGAACACTCATTTCTGTTTTTTAGAACTTAGGGAATCCCGAGGGCTATATACATAGTTTGAAGTTTAAAAATAAATAGAACAAGCTGCTTTTGACAAAATATCAAAAAGTAGCAAAAAACCTTTAGCTGTAATTTTTAAACTATTGTATTTAGACCATTTAAACAAAGGCAGCGTGATTAGCATACTTAATTAACTTTTCAACGAAAGCAGGTATGTATGCGTCGCTTTAGTCGTTTAGGAACTATAAGCCCTTAAAATATGTCTTTTTTATTCTTGTTTTTGGAATAACTCTGGATCGGAGCATCGTATTTTAACAAATGAAGTGTTTCGATGCTTATTTTTGGTATACACCAGTGGTCGGCACACACATACCATCACAAGTTTGCCTTGCATTAGTGTGAGTGTAACAATCACGAAGTTTGCGCGCGGCGTGCTGAAGCGAGACGTTTCTCTGCTTTGCACTGAGATCCTCTGCCGCAGCAACAAAAAAGCGCGCCGAAGTTGAGAAAAAAAATGACCCGAAGACCCATGCCGAAGTCACACGAACATGTACGTTATACGTGAGCGAGCAGAGGATGGGCAGAACGCTTCCCTATGCTCACTAGATAGGCCGCTGCCGACCACTGGTATACACTCATGGACAATATAATAGATGTGTTTTTTTTTTCATTTTTAACTTTTTATTTCTAATTCTTATCATCTCTAATCTCAACGAAACAAACTTTTTTCAAAACTTATATTAATTGTCTTTAAACAAAAAGTAACAAAGGTTTCACAAACCCTTTCATAAACAACTAAATTAAATATTTCCTTAAATCCTCCAATTTTGGCTGGACACAATAATAGGTGTACAAAGATAAATGTTTAAATTAAATCAATATTTCACTGTTTGGTCTTTTTTTATATTAAACTAAGTATCTGGCAGCTAATAGCCGATATATCCGCCATTATTTTGCAGGACTTTCTCCATTCGTCTTGGCATGGAGGATATTAGCTTGGGACATGTTTCAATTGGAATATTGTACCATGCTCTTTGGACAATATCCCAAAGTTGACTTTTATTTTGACATAAAGTCTTTCCCACCTCTCTTTTGAGTTCACCCCAGAGATTCTCGATGGGATTAAGGTCCGGGGATTGACTTGGCCACTCAAGAACATCCACATTTTGCTCTCGGAACCAATCCCGTTCAAGTCTTTCAGGACGATTGCCAATGAAATTGGGAATATTGTGTCATCACGGACCGTTAGGCGACGATTGGCAATAGCAAACCTACCAGGTAGGGTTGCTCGCAGGGTTCCTTTGCTTCGGTCGGCAAATTTACAGATGAGTAAAAAATTTTCATTAGATCGTAGAACCTGGTGCGGACCAGAGGGTGAGAAAAAATGACGTAATATCCTCTGGAGTAGTGAAACCAAAATAAATTTATTTGGAAATGATGCCAAAAGGAATGTTCGTCGTCCGATTGGCAAAGAATTTGATCCTAAATACACATATAAGACTGTGAAACATGGAGGTGGTAGCCTAATGGTATGGGGCTGATTTTCATGGTATGGTGTTGGTCCGATTCATCGCATTGACGGAATAATGGTCAGATTTGTTTACAAAGATATATTGGAGACGATGATGCTACCATATGCCGAGTATGATATGCCACTTTTATGGAAGTTCCAGCAGTATAATGACCCGAAGCACGCCTCTCGAGTAGTAAAGGATTGGTTCCGAGAGCAAAATATGGATGTTCTTGAGCGGCCAAGTCAATCCCCGGACCTTAATCCCATCGAGAATCTCTGGGGTAAACTCAAAAGAGAGGTGGGAAAGACTTTATGTCAAAATAAAAGTCAACTTTGGGATTTTGTCCAAAGAGAATGGTACAATATTCCAATTGGAACATGTCCCAAGCTAATATCCTCCATGCCAAGACGAATGGAGAAAGTCCTGCAAAATAATGGCGGATATATCGGCTATTAGCTGCCAGATACTTAGTTTAATATAAAAAAAGACCAAACAGTGAAATATTGATTTAATTTAAACATTTATCTTTGTACACCTATTATTGTGTCCAGCCAAAATTGGAGGATTTAAGGAAATATTTAATTTAGTTGTTTATGAAAGGGTTTGTGAAACCTTTGTTACTTTTTGTTTAAAGACAATTAATATAAGTTTTGAAAAAAGTTTGTTTCGTTGAGATTAGAGATGATAAGAATTAGAAATAAAAAGTTAAAAATGAAAAAAAAAACACATCTATTATATTGTCCATGAGTGTATATACGAATAGGTTATTAACCTGTGGCATTTATCCGCATCGCCCTTAATACCCGTTACTCGTGGAGTAATGCTGTGATCTCGGAAACTAAGCATACAGATTCTAGAGATTATTACGCAGGGCAAGTACATTTCAGGAATGCGCCACGCCCACTCTAACGCCCACAAACAACAATAAGTGCTAGAACAAAAGTTAAACTAAAATGTATTGCTCTCGTCAATACCCATCGATTGACCAAAAAAAATGTGGTCAATTCTTTGTGTTATGCTTTAGGGATACCAAGAAGAAGAATTTAATGGGGTGAGAGTATGACCTTAAAAAGGTCATACAAAAAGTCATAGTGTACCCGGTATAAATTATTAAATTTCTCCCTCTCCGAATTCAGGTATACCGCAGTTCAGCGAACTTGGCAGCCATAACATTTGACCGATAATGATTGACCTTAATCTCGAAGCCATGCAACTGCTTCTGGTGTACTTGGTGCCGGGCTGTGACTTCCATTGTATTTTCATTCACAAGAAGGCATGCAGCGCTGGCAGAACAAACTGGCCGTGGTAACGGGTGCCAGCGGTGGCATAGGAGCCGCTTGTGCCCGGGCCATGATCGGAGCTGGACTGCGGGTAGTGGGCCTGGCACGTCGCGAGGCCAAGCTGAAGGAGCTTCGAGATGGTCTGCCCCCGCATCTGCAGGCCAACTTTATTCCGCGGCGATGCGATGTCTCCAAGGAGGAGCAAGTGCTCAGCTCCTTCGAGTGGATCGAACGGGAGCTAGAGGGAGCGGACGTGCTGGTGAACAATGCTGGCATCACCCGCGAGACGGAACTGGTCACTGCAGGCAATACGCCTAAACTCAGGGAGGTCCTGGACACCAACGTGATGGGTGTGATCTGGTGCACCCGCGAGGCCTTTAATAGCATGAAGCGGCGAGGTGGCGAGGGACACGTTCTCATCATCAACAGTATCGCCGGACACCAGGTGCTCAACTTCATCGACGTGCTGCCTTCGTTTAACATCTATCCGGCCACCAAGTTCGCTATCACGGCCCTTACCGAGACATACCGCCAGGAGTTCCAGCTGCACTCTAAGAAAATCCGGGTGACCGCCATTTCGCCTGGCGCCGTGAACACGAACATCTTCCCGGAAGAGATCCATTTCTACGTAAAGGACATGGCCAGATTGGAACCAATCAACGTTGCGGAAGCTGTGATGTACGCTCTGGGAACCCCATCTCACGTTCAGGTGGGCATAATTCATTTTAAAATCGTAGAGTTATCAGAAAACTAGTCAATAGATTTGCCCTCCGGACGGGAAAACTGTCAGAACACTGTGATCTTGAAAACTATTCGAGCTAGAGGTTTGAAATTTGAGCAAAGCAAGTAACGTTCGCAAACGCGCATAACGCTAAAATCTGCCTGGCATCAACATTTTCAAATATTTTCTTTTCAAAATAAATTGGATTTTTTTTAATGTCAATAAATATCTGACTATTTGCTATAAAGTTTGATTAGCTGAGTAATGGGTTTAAGAAAGGCGAGGCACTCAACTACAGCGTTCCTTCTTGACTCGAAATATTAACATGCTGAAAATTTTTTGATTTACTTTCAGGTCCACGATATTACTGTTAAGCCGATGGGCGAAATCTTTTGAACTTCTAACGTTGCACACTTTTTAATGGCTTTGCTCTGGAAACGATTTCGGAAATAGCACTTATAAATTCGATCGCTTGAACTTGATTTGTACTATTTTTATATAAAATAAAACAAGGCATTTCTTATTTTGCTCGATATATTGAAAAATAAGCTTTTGGTTCTTATTTTGCGGACGTTTTCCAAGTCGGTCATTTCCTGGCCAAGGCTGCCAGACCACCAAAAAGGATTTTTTCAATTCGCTCCGTATCGATTAAATTCGCTTCGTCTCGTTAGAAATTCCCGAGGAAATTTTTTTAGAACAAAGCAGTTTGTAGGGTTATTTTAGAACGAAAAAGAGTAAGCAGCTTACTTGCAAGCAGTACAATTTTACAATCTGCTTGCTTGCGGTATTGTGTTCTAAAAATTTCCCTCTATACTGCTTTGTGCTAAAAATTTCATTCGACGAATTCGAACAAGGCGAATTGAATTCGAACGAGGCTGGGCGAATTCAAGCCATGCGGGCCCGAAAAACCATTCTGGCAACTATGGATGGCTTTTAAAAATGACCACACTTTTTTTCTACAACCGCATTTTCATTTTACGAAAGTTAAGAAAAAGATATTATTCTAAAACATTTTATATTAACAAAATTGTATCTAGTGATTACATAAAATAATTAGATATAATTAATGAACATTCTCAGAGTATATATAAATTTAGTTCGTGAAATAAATTTATTATAAATATGTTTTTTTTTTTAATTTTAAGAAGTAAAGTCGGAACAAAAATATGTCATCTGTCTTCAAAACTGGTAAATGGAAAAAATTTATAAAAAATGTTTTCTTAAGTGGCTAAAAGTAAAGAATGTTGGTCTAATAAAATGTTGAAAAAATGTTTTTTTATTTTGTTTTTAATTATAATTTTTCCCTCTGGGACGGTGACCTTGTCGTGGGCCCACCCCACGCCAATTACGTGACTTATTTTTGTTTTAATATCACGAAAGCAAGATACAATCCTGAAAAATTAAAAATGGAGCAATTAACATTGACTATTACTTATAGCTACAAGGGTATATAAAATTTCCCTTGCCGAGGCTAACTTCCTTTTTGTTCGTTGTGTTTTCTAAAAACTTATGAAACGACAATTTGTAACTTAATTATCATTTAGAAACATCTAATTGCATTCTATGATATATTACAATATTTTTCCTTTAAATATTAAGGTACTGCTTGCTTTTGGGAAGCTGCAGTTGCTAAAATAGAGGGATATCGATTCTCCTTTCAAGCACAGCCCCTCTCGGAATACAAGGATTTTCTCGATTCGCCGCAGTGTGGACGCTTTCGGAGTGCCCCTCATCCTGATCCTGGTTGTGTGCTGCTCGTGGCTCGCAAGACTCGGCTCATCGGCTCACTTCGGAACGGTTACTTCAGCGAGGAGGAAACAACAATACGGGAAAGCTCCGGCCTCGGATGCCGCAGTATCAACTGAATTCCAAGTCGCGGCGCACGTGTTTCGTCCTTTGGCGCGGCTCTGAGTCCGAGTCCTTCTTATCGCACCGAAAGGATATCTCGTAGTGGTCGCTTTTGACTGCGGTGTCGCGGTTTCTCGCGGGGGGCAGCACTCAAATGCCGTGGAACCACGTTTCGCATGTTTTTTCAACTAGTGCGTGACGACACTATGTATAGGTAATGGATTGATTCGGTTCAATTTCGCTCAGTGTAGTGTTCTTAAAGCAAAAGTGAAGTTTCCAAGCGGAGGCCGCTTTATGCGGCCAGTGAAAGATATTGTCCCAGTACAACCTACCAATCAAGCAAATCCAATAAAATACTGACAGACTTAAATAAGAAAATTAATGGAGATATTCGCATGGCGGAGATATTCGAACACAAAGTGAGTGGAAAATCGCCTTACTTTAAGTTAATATACTTATTAAGCGAGCTCGGCTTTCATCTTCCTAAAAGTAAACCACAGATAAATCAAGAAAACATTTTTTTCTCATAGGAAATAAAGCCGGACGGGAAACGTGATTTAATGCTAATCGAAAATGCATTTGTTACTCAGGTTTCTTGGTAATATCACGCTCAGAGATAGGATCGGAATGGGGACAAAACACATATTTTTACAGACCTCAGATCAACCGAGAGTTTTCCGCAGAAATGATTGTTTCTTTTGCACGAAAATCAAAGTTTTTCCAAGTTTTTCAAAGTTTATCTTCCCCTTATCTGCGTTTGAAGTTCCATCCAGTTTTTTTTCTCAAAAGTGTAAGACCGGAGAAAGCCAAACAACCTAATGAGCACGCGTGTTATGGATTGACTTTGAAATGAGCCGTGATTTCTTATGAGTTCTTGTGGTGATTTGAAGTAAGGAGGGTGGGTAATTAGTTCCAGGCACCTCGAAACGAAGGCGGTTGTAGTTTCGACAGGCCATAATAAGTGTGGTTAAAAACTTTTAAGAACTTTCACGGAAATAAACATTCGATTCTTGGACAAATTCTGATGTTTCCTTACCTTTACGAAATAATTCAAAGCTTTTTTAAATGAATTTAATACAGACCTGCTTGTTAAATGTCTACTTAGACCTCTGCTTTCTTACTTACCACCATTATTACGACTTAACGAACAAATCTAATTATATTATATATAAGGACCTTAAAGTTGACACATAATTAACATTTAAAGAACACTTTATGGTCAGGTTTTCAGCTGGCTTTAAAAGTTCCGAAAAAGGCCAAGGACCTGGCAGGATTCTTTGCATGCGCCCCTTCCTAACCATTAATTAAGTGCCGCTTGAAGAAATAGAAGTAGATGAGCTTGTCCCCATTAATCTTTCATCCTTATAAAGGGCATATGTATGTCCAGAGACAACCTCAAAAAACGGCATTAAAATCGAACCATCTCGACCTTTTCTCCGCCCCTTCTGTTTTTCTAATTGAATTTGCTTTCGAGCTTTTTCGTCTGGCTTTTCTTCTTAAAGATCAAGTGGTCTCCAGGTGATTTTGTGGCTTTTTGGCCGATGGCCAGGTGATTAATGTGCAGTCTGGTTTGTTTAATTAACTTGTATTTATTCCTGCGGTACCCTACGGATGACAAAATTCAGATGCTCACGTTGATAGGTGTGCTCACTTTTATTTCAGTGGCTGTACTATAACCATTAAATGGATGAATGACTGCGTTTGTGGCACTTTTAATGGGTTGAGCCAACATAATAGCATAATAAATGCACCATTATCGCATTGCAAACGTATGCAGTGGTTGTTAATTTGTTTTAAATCATCTAATAAGCCCGAAAGCATATTTCTCCTGCGTAGCGCCAACCACTAAATTCAATTAACCGACGATACCATGCAAATAACAATTGCAGCACGCACTTTAAGCTGATTCCATGTTAATTTGATGACCATTGTTTGATTGGCGTCGCAACAGCCAACAGCTCATTACCCACCAGCAGCATAAAAGCATTTAAGTGCCGTGATTACCTGGAGGGTCAGAGGGCATGGGAACCCTTACTGGGTACAATATCTAGTGGATCGCTTGTTGAGGCCTGAAATTTAATATAACGCTGCAGAGCCCTCTGCCGTTTGTGTAAAAATTAACATTTTAATTGGTTTTTGGCCTTCACATATTTGCGAGTGATTAAGGCAACAGCCTTATAGGGCTGCCCACCTTTATGCAACTTTATGGCCCAATAAAAAACTATTTGATTGCGCCGAGCGGGATGTAAATATTAATGCAGTGGTTAGCATTGGATAAAGGTTCGCAGGACAGAACAGGAATACCATATTCGTGACATGGTGGCGATAAGCAACTGGCCAACAGACAATATATGGGGGCTTAACAAATACAAACACAAATTTCGAACCAGAATTAAAAATAAAATAAATGTCACAGCAATTTGATACGGGATAAATGATGCGGACGAGGGACATTTATTATGAAGGCCTACGGTTAATATCACTGTTTGCTTAAGTTAAATTATGCTCGAACATTGAATTCGATGGAGAATTAATTAATTTGCAAACATGTCTTCCAGCTTTTCGCTATTTTAGCTCAGATTTGAAAGGATGAAAGGGGGTATATCATAAAAAAGTTGTCCCAACCTAAACATAAGGGTGAACCCATCGGGGTTTTCAATTGGAATCATTTTAAAATGACGTATTTAAATGTTGTTCAACTTTTATTTTATATTTTATGTATTATCTCGACGCACATATTGGTATTTAAACATCATAAATAAATAAAATGGGTCAATACTTAGATCGAAAATGCATAACATATTAAACATGTGTTTATATTTTTACAAAATATAATTATTTAAACTAATTTTGGCCATATGACATATGTTTATTTAATAATTAAGCCTTTCTCTATATAAATTCGTAAAATATTGTTATGCTGTTGGGATTACCCAAAAAAGTTCAATCAATTGTTAGCAAAATACCACCTAAAAGCATCAATAAAACTATGTTTTTATCTATTAATCAGTGCAAATACTTTCCAAAAATAATTGATATAATTAAATGTTTTCCTCTCTTTATAGAATGCACTACAAAATCGATTGAGTTTGTTCTCCACCAATCCATTTGCAGTTATGTGAAGCCAAATACCCAAATTTGAGGGACAAACTTACACTCAAACAAACGGGGTTGAGGTCAATAGATATACCCAAGTAAAATCAAGCATTACCAGCTGGCTTAAGGACCATGGCCATGGAAGTCAAATGCATCGGCAGCATCGCTACGCCAATCCTCGTAATAATGATAAGCATTTCCAGAGCATGGACAATGCAGCATCAACATTTAAGTCCTGCCATCCAAGAGCATTCTGGAGTTAAATCATTATGTAAGTTGCACTCACGTTTATTCACACAGGTATAACTCAATTCTACGGGTAGGAAATTCTCTGTGACTTTAATTATGTGCACGGTAGATTGGTCCTTAAAGCTATAAATTACCTACAGCCAAGTGGCCATCTAATGTTTCATCAACCGTAATTAAGTTTATTAAAACTAAGGGTATCATATGGTTTACATCTGCAATAGTAAATCAAACGTGGTCAACAAAGAAGCATAACTTGATTAGGAGAA